TTCTTTTTTTTACATTTTTCAAATTCATAAAAAAAAAAACTCTAATTATTCAAAATATTGATTATTTATTGCTCTATATAGTGATTATATTATTTTTTAAATCCTAGATTTTCAATATGGTCTCAAACTTTAGGATTTCAATGTCACATTCCCATTATAAGCGCTGAAGTATGAGTGGCCTTGTGTTTGTTTTCAAGCTCACCCACTTGCAAGCATGGGTATAAAATAAAAGAAAGCACAGCAGTAACATAGCCTCAAGATGCGTAGCTCTAAAAGCCACAGCGGAAAAAGTTGAATTAAGAAAGAGCACATGCTTCCAGTAGCTATAATTGAGTCCAGAAAGAGGTCCAAACAACCTGGGGCAGCCTCGGGCCTATGTTAGCATGCTTATTTAATACAACCTAAAGAGGAAAAGGGTCCGTATTCACGATTCATTTTCAGTGGTACTACCCCATTATGACTGTGTGCAAGCTGACTCACCTTGTGTTCGTGCATCATGCTATTGTCCGGACAGTATGCTGCTGTGAAGGCATCCATCCCCGACCTCATTGGGCGGAACAGATACTCTCAGTGGGATCAGGCCTGCAGAGATTAGCAGAGTGGGGTGAGGTTATTGAGATCAAGTCTCCCAGGGAGTTTGTGTGAAAATCTTCCAGTGCTGTGAAAGATACAAAACAATGTCAACGTAACGGAGCAGGTGTCCTGACATCCTTTTAGTGCTATAACAAAAGCAATATTAGTAACCAATACAACCAACCCGAAATATGCCATGAGAAACGAATAGTACAATAAACAAGAAGCGAACACTTAATAACTTACATTTTGAGTAATATTGATGGTTACTTTGTGTATTTTTGCTCTGCCAACGAAAACTACAGTGGCCGAGAAGTGCTAAACAGATAGAAAATATCTGCGACCGTAGAAAATAGTTCCAAACAAAGTCAAAGCAGAATAGCATGTTGCGAATATCCAAACAACACACAATAGTGGTGTTCCGTGAAGAATCGTTTCAATGATTCATTCATAAAGAAAAAGAATAGTTGCTAAATTAATCAACGTGTTTGAACCAATCGGTAGACTGAATGATTCAAAGATTCACTCATAAGGACCAAACCGTGGGTCATTTGTGGTTACCCTGGTTTAAGTACAATAATCATGCATGCTTGTAAAAAAAAATCAAAACAGAGCTGTTGTAAAAAGTATTTGGACAATGTATTTCAGTGGTCTATGCTGTTTTTACAATAATTTAATGATGCTGGGGTCAAAACACTGATTGTTCTTTTTTAGTGTATTATCATTCATTTACACAGGATTTATAAAACACTTAATTCAATTTTAATTCACTTTTCCCCATTATAGGGCACCAAATGCATTAGTGCAATTGGTTTCCCAGCTGTTTCTCATCAGGCAGATGTGTTTGTTTGCATTATTAATTCATGCACAAGTGAGCTTTCAGTGTCTGGTCCCTATTTAACATTTGCATTAGCTTTGGAGTCTTCTGCTGGTGTCAGAGTCTTCTGTTCATTAAAACAAGCAGGAAATGAAATGATTAGAGCATCCAGGGAAATACTAGCATACAATACATTAGTGCAGTAATCAGATTAATTCACAAAAGGTTTTGCAATTTATTAAGTAATTATCAATGGTGAAAATGGTGAAGTGTCAGTGGACTTTTTTGACAGATATTCAAACTGCTTATTTAGCAGCAATAAGTTGTGCTTAAAGCACTCAGACATCAAAATATTGACAACAAATCAGACAAATGAAAAAATTGTACTTCATATATGATACTTACATGTGAAGATAGGTTACATACTGGAAGCATGCGTGAATGCATTTGTATGTAAATAAGATATGCATATTTACATTCACTTTGACTACATTTGTTCAGGAAAGATTGACCAGGATGAATGAGTTTACAGCTATAAATGTGAGGCATGTTCTAAGACATAAATTCAAGCTGTAATTGTTGGTTGCTGCATATTTTTAAAAACAAATTATTAATAATAAAAAGAATGAAATAATTTAAGTACCCTTGGCATATAGAACAGTTAGTAAAATATTTTATTTTATATTTTTTAAATATAGCTTTTTTATATGAATTGTTCTATCCAAATGAATACCAAATATATGAGCAGATTTAAAAAATGAACAGAACTGCCCTTAACAATTCACGTTTAGTCATTTAGCAGATGCTTTTATCCAAACATCACAAGTATTTTATCATACAAGGCAAGAGCCAAAAATACTAACAAAAACTATCTGTTACTTAATAGTTTACCAAATACAGTATGTGGCAGAAAGCTACAATGCTTTGTTGTGAACATGAGCATAATGAACATGAAGATAATTTAGGAGTTTATACAGAGGTGTACAAGAAATAAGAGAGAAATAGGCCATGTCAGAGCATATAAAATAAATGCAATTGAATTTTACATAGAATATTTTTCATTTAGTTTGACATATATCCAGTCTTGCTTTCCATAATAACGTAACGGATCTGGGTGTCATAATGTAACGAGTTTCACTTGCAAAGCACCTCTGTTTTTCCTGCTGCACGAGAATGAGATCTGAGTGTGTCAGTGTCTGGTGTGAGAGGTAACATCTCCTCCCCCGCTGCACTGGCTGCAGAACAGCATCTCCAGTGTGTGGAGCGGGAGAAAATGGAGCCTGATTGAATGTGAGAGCAGGCGGAAGAAAGGCAGCAGCGGCAGAGGGAGGGCGTTTGCTCTCACTGAACACCACAACTCAGTTGCTGCAGTCAGGGCATCAATTTTGTATAGGCGTTGAGCGCAGTGCCAGTGCGCTCGGAGCTGAGGCTTCCCTCTCTCTGCCTGCCTCTTTACCGCTGCCCATGGAGAGCAGCTCGCGTCTCGCTCGACCACAGAGTGATGGGGGGCGATACGAGCTGTCTCTATAGACATGTCCGCGTCCGATTCTAGCGCAGCGCTGCTCAGCTGCAAGGTAGGGATAGTTTGCCTTCTCTCCCTCACATGCACTTTATCTCTGTCACTCTTTCTCTCTCTCTTTCTTGCGCTCTTGCTCACTGATTTTCTCCCGCGCGCTCCCTCTGAATTAGGCTACATTTTCACTCCATGTGATTCTATAATCAATCAGTGCTGCTTTGGTGGAGTGAATGAATTTTGCATGCATTCTGCCTGGATCATAGTCTATTCATATCCCCATGTAAGCCTTTTTTATGAATAAATTATTCTCAGTCGGTATGCACGTCTTAGCTTTTCGACCAGCAGACTCATCAAATGCATTCAGCTGCATTGATTGTTTAATTGAGAACGTCTATTGGGCTACCTAAAATTGTTAATATTTCACTTTCTCGTATCTTTCTGTATGGTTTCAAATAGTATTGCAAGTTGTTGATATGTCGTTTTTGTTAGGGGGGAAAAGCATAGTTTTCTTGTGTTACAATGGGCATGGCAGAAATGTCAATTCCAGTGGTTTGTATTTTTTTTATAACCAGCAAACCATGGTCAGAGTTTAACCAGTTTTAGGCAAAAATGCCACAGATATTTATATAAATGTGTAGGGTTATATTCAAGAGTGTAATGCATGAACTAAGAAAATGTAGGCCTATATATTTATGTAAATTCAAATTCATCTGTTTTTGCTGTTATTATTTCATAATTTTGTTTCAGTAATATTATATTCTAGGTCTTTATAGGTTTAATGTTTTGAGCACTATTCTGCTGACATAAATAGATGGCATGCTGTGTGTATTTATATTTTAAAAAGCATATTTTATATTATATTGTAATATATTATATTTGATTAAAACCCCTTATAAATGTAAAAAATACTTCTGAAAATCAATTCCAGGAAGCAAATATATGTGATTTAAACAAACAGTTATTTAATTGCAGCAAAGATAGTTCAACCTATCTTCTGATACTGATTATTGAAATTATAGGTTGCAAAAAATTGCACCGTTGCACGTGTTTATTTTGTATTTTATCTCTGTATGAAGTTGATTCTTATGCTATGGACTTCTTTGATCCCTGTCCTCATCACAATCAAGTTCTATCTTGGCGAGCATCATATCCATGCTGCCCCATATAGGAGATTGGGAATCAGATTCTGACAATATAAATGAAAATTGGGCATGAAACTGTTTGAAGTATTGGAGAGTGAATGACTGTTATAAGCCTTGTGGACAAGGGGCGGTTCATTGATTTCGCCCCCTGTTGACTGAGTGCTGCTATTGAACAAGTTGTGATTTGACAGCCTTGCTTTTAGCATAGGTTACACCAGGGGTGCCCAAACTTGGTCCTGGAGGGCCGGTGTCCTGAAGAGTTTAGCTTCAACCCCAATTAAACACACCTGAACCAGCTAATCAAGCTCTTACTAGGCATAGAAACTTGAAGGCAAGTGTGTTGAGGCAAGTTGGAGCTAAACTCTGCAGGACACCGGCCCCCCAGGACCGAGTTTGGGCACCCCTGGGTTACACAACTCCAGTGATACACAACAGTTGAAAGAACATGCTAAACACATTACCTTTACAAATATGAGATTCAAAATGTACATTGAACCTAGAAATAAACACAGTTGAAGGATTTTGAAAATTTGTAGGCTACACTGTAAAAAGTGGTAACCTGCCATTGTTAACTTAAAAAGCTAATGATTTAACTGTTAAAAATGAGTTTTGTTTGGCGTAAATTCATGTATATAGCTTGGTTCAGTGATGTTTTATTAGATGTTACCATTTTTAGGTGACCATTTTTGGTGTACGTTATGATGTTCTGCAATATTTTCAAGTCACTAATCAAATAAGAAAATTTGTGACTTTGATCATGTGAACTCCGAGTTATGGAAGCTTGTTTCTGCCACAGGTTAAAAAAATTAAAATAAAAATGGTCTTTTTCTCTCACAATTCATACTTTTTTATGAACTCAGACTTATATATAAACTCAGAATTGTGAGATATAAACACAGACTTATATATAAACTCAGAATTCAGAGAAAAACGTCAAAATTGTGAGTTGTATATGGCAAGAATGTAAGTCTGACTCAAGAATTCTGAGTCTCTCAACTATATCTTGCAATTTTGAGTTTATATCTCACATTACTTTTTTCTCAGAATTGTGAGAAAAATTCGAATTCAGATGGTCAAAATCTTGCTTCCATTTGAAGCTCAAGATGTATTCTTAAATAATTCTGGAAAACATCAAGTCCATGCAGCTCGAATGCTGCTGTCGAAAAGCAAAAGGAAGATAAACCGAATACTAAGACAATCTAAAAATCTATTAAAAAATAAAGCTATTAAAGCTTTAATTAAGCTACATATTGTAAACATTGTATGCAGCCTTTTCTGGGAATGTCTGCTGGTGTGTTGTAAGTGGAATATGGGGTGAGGTGTTGTGGAAACACTCTTAGTGGATGAGGTTGCGATGCATTGTGTATTTTAAAGGATTACATTACTCTATCGATCCAGGTACTGAGCAAAAAAATTACGAAGAGTTTAGCTTCAACCCCAATTAAACACACCTGAACCAGCTAATCAAGCTCTTACTAGGTATAGAAACTTGAAGGCAAGTGTGTTGAGGCAAGTTGGAGCTAAACTCTGCAGGACACCGGCCCCCCAGGACCGAGTTTGGGCACCCCTGGGTTACACAACTCCAGTGATACACAACAGTTGAAAGAACATGCTAAACACATTACCTTTACAAATATGAGATTCAAAATGTACATTGAACCTAGAAATAAACACAGTTGAAGGATTTTGAAAATTTGTAGGCTACACTGTAAAAAGTGGTAACCTGCCATTGTTAACTTAAAAAGCTAATGATTTAACTGTTAAAAATGAGTTTTGTTTGGCGTAAATTCATGTATATAGCTTGGTTCAGTGATGTTTTATTAGATGTTACCATTTTTAGGTGACCATTTTTGGTGTACGTTATGATGTTCTGCAATATTTGCAAGTCACTAATCAAATAAGAAAATTTGTGACTTTGATCATGTGAACTCCGAGTTATGGAAGCTTGTTTCTGCCACAGGTTAAAAAAATTAAAATAAAAATGGTCTTTTTCTCTCACAATTCATACTTTTTTATGAACTCAGACTTATATATAAACTCAGAATTGTGAGATATAAACACAGACTTATATATAAACTCAGAATTCAGAGAAAAACGTCAAAATTGTGAGTTGTATATGGCAAGAATGTAAGTCTGACTCAAGAATTCTGAGTCTCTCAACTATATCTTGCAATTCTGAGTTTATAAATAATGACTGGTGGATCGGGAGGCTGGTGAAGGAGGGGGCAGATATTGCCTTCATCCCCAGCCCTGTTAAACTGGAGGCCATGCGGATCAAGCAGGAACAGAAAGCAGCTCAGAGGTCTGAAGTGCAGTTGCATCTCATCATATCTATAGTTGTCATTCAGTACTGTAAATTAGCATTTAAAGGAATAGTTCGCCCAAAAATGAAAATTTGCTGAAAATGTACTGATCCTCAGGCCATTTAAGATGTAGATGAGTTTGTTTATTCATCGTTATAGATTTGGAGAAATTTAGCATTACTTTTTCACCAATGAATCCTCTGAGGTGAATGGGTGCCGTCAGAATGAGTCCAAACAGCTGATAAAAACATTACAAAAATCCACAAGTAATCCACATGACTCCAGTCCAACATCGTGTGAAGTGAAAAGTTGCATGTTTGTAAGAAACAAATCCATCATTAAGACGTTTTTAACTTCATATATAATACCAGTCCATAATCCATAATAATGCTTCCTCCAGTAAAAAAAAGTCCATCAGCTGTTGTCCTCTCACATCAAATCCACCAGCTTATTTGTTTAGAACTATTCTGGACTGTTTTTGCTTGTAAATGGTGCTTGATCTGTGCATATTTCTCTCCTGATTCAGACAAGGTTACTTTTTTACTGGAGAAAGAAACATTATGGATAAAGGACTCGTATTTAACTCTTTTCACATACTGTTTTTTTGCCTATTTTATAGGGAAGTATGCATATTAAAATAATTGAATTATTGTGTTTCAACAAATCACTTGAATGGCTTTTAAAGACCGGTTTAACTATGTAACCTACAGAAAGAAACAATGTAAAATCCCCTCCACTAATACACAGCAATACAGTTGGTTTGGAATGCACAAAGACAAGCAGACTGATACAAATAAAGATAAGTGAAGATTAATAGTTATCGTTTTTGGTGAACTATACCATAAGTGAGAATTGAACATTCTTGCCTTCAACTGATGGGATTTATCATTGCACTTGCTATTTATAAGAAAACTCAGCATGTAGGTTCAGCATGGGATCTTAGTTCAGCTATTGGTGTGTCTCGTCCTGTAATTTCTAAAGTGTTTGTGTTGGTAACAGGAAAATGGGAGGAAATGCTTCATCTGGTGGCTGGAGGTCTACTCCTCCTTCTGCAGGTGAGAGGAATTTAAATACTCTCACACATTACTGTCTTACTGTAATGCTAGTACTGTTGAGCCACTACCATTCATCTGCATTTTCCTTCGGGGTACAGTATATGCTGCTTTTATATGTCATGCTCGTCATGATTTACATAATATTTCAGTATAAAACTGTTTTACCATAATGAACACAAACAACCTGTTTAGATTTTCTAAAACACATTTATTTTGTTTTAAACAAGCCAAACAGAAGCAGAAGCAGGTAGGTGGTTAAAATTGCTTCCTTGCTTCCATAGTGCAACACAGTCCCTCAAAAAGTGGTATCAAATATTCACACTTTGTGTCTGGTCTCTCAGACTATTCTTTGTGAGAGATTTTAATGCTGTCTTATTGAAACGGCATCCCTTGAGGCTACTCATTAGATGTTGAGAAATGTTAGTTAAGATTCAGAGCTTGTGAGACATAACACTGTGTGTGTGTGTGTGTGTGTGTGTGTTGTAGACAGAGCACGTTCCACCCTATGATGTAGTTCCATCCATGAGGCCTGTTGTTCTGGTTGGCCCCTCGCTGAAAGGCTATGAGGTAAATTTAAATTATATTAAATTTGATCATCATGGCAGTTAAGAGACAGGTCAGTTATTCTATTTGTACAGGGTCCAAAATTAACCACCAAGCAAGTAAAAGTTGAGTTTGAAGAGTAAATAAAACTTAACCAGTAATCAAAATCAAAATCAAATCAAGGACATGCAAACCATTAACTAAAGAAAACATCACTCACTCACGTGACTTTTGTGTCTTTTAACTTGCGCACCTGTGGAAGATTTACCATCAGAAATATGCCTGAAGGCTTTTTTCTCCAGAACTCAATGTGACGACATATACAGTATATTAAGCTACTAAAATGAAACTATGAAGAACAAACGTGTTATTTTATTATTATTTATATATTATAGCATTTATTAAAATTGTCAGCGTTCATTTTAATTTTAGTAATTTTTATGTGCTTTTGTCATTTTTATTCTTTTTTTTTTTGTATATATTTTTTTAAAATTTCTATGTAACTTTAATTTATTTATATTTTAGTTAATTTTAGTATTTTTTTATATGTAGTTGCCAAGGCAACATTTCTAATTTTCAATTACGTTTTTAAGTTTAAGTTATTCATGTAATATTAGTATTTTATTTTATTTTATTTATAGTTTATTTCAATTACCGAAAATTGTTTAGGTTTAGTTTTAATTAACAATAACAACACTGGAACAAAATCACATTTTGCAACAAATTTATGCTTATATAGAGATTGGCTTATATAATATATGATGTGATACACAAGCGACACAATGACCTGTAAAAATATATGCAGTTTTTATTTAGATGTAATAAATTATATTTCTATAAATACATTTACTTTTTTT